TTCTTCATTCATGATGTCTCTACACTCGCATTCATCGGGCTCTTACAAGCAAATATTGGCAGACTCTAGAGAAGAAGAGGAACCTCTCTTATCCATTGAAAACTCTGCAGCAACGTCCCGCTTTGCAAGTGGTGATCTATCAGCTCTTTCAAGACAATACAAAATTCCTACTGATCTCTGCAATCATTTAAGTGCGATAGTTTGGTAAATTACACCTATATCTTGCAAGAGTATACAATGCACTCTAGCATGTTTGTCATTAAAGGAATGCATTCAAGATTCCAAGCTTATGGTGCTGCTGAATCAGCAATTGCCATCTTTTGTACATCAGGCATCTCTTCGATATTAGGAGAAAGTTTGGTAATTTTTCCAATTCCAATCGTTCTTCCTTCATCACGAACTGTGAAACGACCCAATTGTGGATAATCAGCAAACCTCTCAACACAGATCGGAGCTGCAGTTTCGATCAGAGCGACGATTTTCATTCCTTTTTTGGCAAATTGTGGTGGCTTACGACTCTTTTTTCCCGTCTTTTTATCGTAATAATGCAATAGAGCTTGAAGTGTGATTTCTTCACTTGCTGTATGAACGTGCATCACTGCGCTATAACCTGCACAAATGATATTCCGCGATTCTAGAATTGCCAATTGTGCTTCGAAACGACGAACAGTGTTAACAGGTTTAGAAGAATCTGTCAAAACGAAACCGACGCTAACATCTTCATGATCAACACCTTTAATCTTGATTCGAACATTATCACCGGAGATGGCAGCTGGAACTTCATCTTCTGTTTCATTGAAGATGGCCATCACTTCGACATTGCTCTTGTTAGGCATCAAGAGCAGATTATCACCCTTCTTGACTTTTCCTGCCTCGATCTTGCCCACGACAACTGTGCCCATATCGCTGTACTTTTCGCTGATTGGCATCTTGAGAGGCTCAGAAATTTTACGATCGCCAAGATTGAGATCATCAAGGTATTGCAATAGAGGAGGTCCAGAGTACCATGAGCAGATATCCTTAGAGACCGCATCTTTCAAGTTCTGTCCAGCGTATGCTGAAACAGGAATGAAAGTGATATCAGTCTTTGGGTTGAAACCACTGCCCTTCAAGAAAGGCGTCAATTTGGTGACGATCTCATCGAAACGACTTTGATCCCATTGGACCGTTGGATCATCCATCTTGTTTACAACAACAATCAAACGTTGAACACCTGCAGTTTTGACCAACATAGCATGTTCACGTGTTTGTCCTCCACGTTCGAAACCGGTCTCGAATTCACCCTTACGTGCTGAGATCACCAAAAGTGCCACGTCTGCTTGTGCAGCACCGCTGATCATACTTGGAACGTATGTCTTGTGTCCTGGAGCATCAAGAATCGTGTAACGTCTTTTTCCCGTTTCGAAATAAGCACGTCCGACTTCCACAGTCTTTCCCTTTTCACGTTCTTGAGGTGTGGAATCCAAAGCCCAACTTAAATACCATGTCTCACGACCGGCATCCTTGGCTTCCCGTTCATACTTTTCCAATGTACGTTTGTCCACCATTCCGGTCAAATGCAACAATTGACCTCCCATTGTAGATTTACCGGCATCAACATGTCCGACAAAAACGATGTTCAGATGTGACTTCATATCGTCAACTTTATCGCCGAACAGGTCCCGCATTGTCTCTTCATCTGTAGCTTTGCTGGCTTCTTGCAAAATTTTTTCAGCGTTTGTTTCACTCTTTTCCACTTTTTGATCAACCTTTGCTGCCTTTTTGGCTGCTTGTCCAGATCCTGGCGTCTTGGCATCTTTTGCTGCACCAGCTGTCGATCCCGTCACAGGTGTAGGTGATTCTGAGCGTGATCCTGGTGGGCTTGCGGTTTTCTGTGTGCCGGATGTAGCTTCTTTCTTGATTGCTGCAACGCCTGCAGCAGGAGCGGGTGTTGAGGCAGCAGTAGCAGCAGCTCCTCCAATAGAGATGTTGACTGGCTTCTTTGGTGCTTCGTCCTTCTTTGGTCCGCCAATGGAGATACTGACTGGTTTCTTCGGGACTGAGTCGTTATTTGTCGTCGAAGGAGCGCCACCGCCCAAGCTCATTACAACAGGCTTGCGATCGGGATCAGCTGCAGATGGCTTTGGAGGCAAGCCACCGGTTGCACGTGGAACAGGAGCAGGCTGTGATTGTTGAGAAGTTTGTTGGTATTGTTGTTGTGCGTACCCTCCTTGTTGGTAGTATCCTCCCTGCTTACCGCCATAGAATCCTCCAGCTTGACCTTGTTGCGCTCCGTATCCCCCTGCATTGTATCCGCCTTGTTGGGGATAGCCAGCATAACCACCTTGTTGGTAGTAAGGTTGTTGCTGACTAGAACCACCAGCTCCGGCTTGTTGTTGACTTTCATTATTTTGTTGCTCTCCTTGTTGCTGATTTCCTGCTCCTTGTTGTTGCTGTTGGTACTGGGCAGCAACTTGAGGTGGCATGAAACCTTGTGCCGCTGGATTAAAAGCGAACGATCTAGCGTTAGGATTCATATTGAATGATGCTGATAGCTATCCGATGCGAATCCTGCAAAGAGACAACTTTCTCAAAGATGATGGCTGTAATCACGATCCTCTTCCGTTGCTTCCAACGAGGTATCCGCTTAAATTTGTGAGCTTCTCGTGCGCGCACATCATTTGACAAGAACCGTACTTCTTCTCACCTTCTTCTTACAATTTGTATTCAAGTTCAATTTCAAGGCACCTTATCAGTATAAGTCAAATGCGCAATCCAGATACAAACGCTACTTTTTGTATTTGCTCGATATAAATTATTATACACGTGAATACGGAGTGCTAATGCACTGCACAAACATTTAGACAGACTTCCAGGCTTACGATACATCTAAAGATCCTTATCGATGCGATACTTCTGACGGTGCCTTCTGATGTGATACATCTGCCGTTTCTCTCTGATGTGGAACCCCAATCCTTTCTGATTGGTGCCTCTGCCGTTCCCTTATGATGTGATAACTCTGACGGCGCCTTCTGATGTGGTACCTCTGCTGATCTCTTCTGATGTGATAACTCTGATGGTCCTTGCTGATGTGATATCTCTGACGGTGCTTTCTGATGTGATACCTCTGACGATTCTTTCTTGTGTGGTACCTCTGACGATCCTTTCCAATGAAAAACCTTCACCGATCCTTCCTGATGGGATACCTCTGACGATCATCTCTGATGTGACACCTATCCCGATCCTTTCTGATGGAATACCTCCACCGATTCTTTCTGATGGGATACCCCTGACGCTCCTTTCTGATGGGATATCTCTGACGGTCCTTTCTTATGTGACACCTCTGATGATCCTTTCTGATGTGACACCTCTGACTGTGCCTTTTGATGGGATATCTCTGACGGTGCCTTTTGATGGGATATCTCTGACGGTGCCTTTTGATGGGATATCTCTGACGATCCTTTCTAATGTGACACCTCTGACGATCCTTTCTAATGTGGTATTTCTGAGGATCCTTTCTAATGTGGTATTTCTGACGGTGACTTCTGAAGTGACACCTCTCCCGATCCTTTCTGATGTGGTATCTCTGACGGTGCCTTCTGATGTGACACCTCTCCCAATTCTTTCTGATGTGGTATCTCTGGCGGTGCCTTCTGATGTGGTACCTCTGCTGATCTCTTCTGATGTGATAACTCTGATGGTCCTTGCTGATGTGATATCCCTGACGGCGCCTTTTGATGTGATGCCTCTAACGGTGCCTTTTGATGTGATATCTCTGACGGTGCCTTTTGATGTGATATCTCTGACGGTGCCTTTTGATGTGATATCTCTGACAGTGCCTTTTGATGTGATATCTCCGGCAGTGCCTTTTGATGTGATATCTCCGGCAGTGCCTTTTGATGGGATATCTCCGGCAGTGCCTTTTGATGGGATATCTCTGACGGTACCATTTGATGGGATATCTCTGACGGTGCCTTTTGATGGGATATCTCTGATGCTCCTTTCTTATGTGACACCTCTGACGATCCTTTCTAATGTGGTATTTCTGACGGTGCCTTCTGATGGAATATCTCTGACGCTCCTTTCTGATGTGACACCTCTCCCGATCCTTTCTGATGTGGTATCTCTGACGGTGCCTTCTGCTGTGATACCTCTGACGAATCTTTCTTGTGTGACACCTCTGACGATTTTTCCCAATGAAATACCTCCACCGATCCTTTCTGATGGGATACCTCTGATGATCCTTTCTTATGTGACATCTCCGACGATCCTTTCTGATAGGATATCTCTGATGCTCTTTTCTGATGGGATACCTCTAACGTTTCACTCTGTTGGGGACATCTCTGGCATTCCTGTCTATTGGGATATATCTGACGCTCCTTTCTACTGGGATACATCTGACGTCCCTTTCTGGTTTGGTGTAGTAGCGCCATCTCTCCTCAAGCAGCCACTCTTCGTCTCTTTGTGCCGCTCGCTGGAGCGTTTGTCTTTGCTTGCCCGGATGTACCAGGACGAGAGTTAGATGAAGACGTTGCGTTGGTAGCAACAGCAGCAGCAGCTTCTGTTAAAGCATCGTTCTCGTTTGCACCATGTCTAATATCATTCTCAAAATCGTCACCTTCTCGCTTCAAAGCCCAGATCCTCAATGCATTCCAAACTTTAAGTCTCTTTTGCTTCACAGCTGCCAGCCTTGATCGGACTTCTTCCAAACGTTCAACGTACTCCAACGAATCTCCTCCTAATTCGTGTAAGCATTCAAGTGCGGCTCGAATCACTTCACGTTGTTGATCAGCAGTCAAGATGGTCTGTTGTTCAGTGCCATTCAAACCTTGTCTTGCCATTTCAATCTCTCCATCTTCACCGGCTTGACCGCCAAATGGGATCGGTAAACCTTCTTTTGTGACAAACAATCGGTCCAATTGTGCAAAGGAAGGATTGAGTTCATCGTCAGTGCCTTGTGTACCTTCAACACCGACTGCATGTGGATCAATTTCCATCTCTTTGTCCAAGCTTCTAGTATTTGACATACCGTCTGTTTGGCCGGGAAGGATACCATTGAGGTGCGTACTATCTCCATTGACCAGAGCTAGCTCCCTGTTCGGTATCCTTTCCTCCATCGCCTTTAAACAACGTGTAAGCGATCGACTGATTTGACTCTCGCTTTCTCGTAAATCCAAAGCTGTTCTCGAAAGAGCGCCAATGTGGGGATTTCGGAAAGTATGACGGAGTGTATGACTCTGCAAGAGGGCACGGGTAGACAAGATCGGCCTAAGCAGTTGAGGTGCAAGTAAGATCGAAGTCTCCTCTATGAACGGTTGAGTGTGAAGATCTTTCAACAGCAATCGATCGCTGCCGTCCAGCATATCCGCTTCGATCGGTAACAGTGATGGACCTGGAGCATTGTTGAGCATTGATTCTACCTGTGTTCTTTGTAAAGCCTTTAATCGATCAGTGAAGCGTTCAGTGATATCTTTCTCGTTTCTTGCATCGGTGGCTGTTCCTAACTTGTGTTTGCGGACCCATCTGGAATTCTTCTTTAGCTTATTTCCACGATTGCCGATTCGATATTGCTTCTCATGTTGGCTGACGTCCCTTCCAGCGTCTTCTTCTTCATTCAAATCCGATTCATCATCTCTATCGTCATCAGGCCATTGATCTTGCTTTCGCTTTTGCCGCAAAGAGTGCTCTCCTACCCTATCGCCGTTCAAGTAGGGTGCCCGTCCTGCCACACTCCTTGGCAAAAGAACGTCTGCAGCACAACTACTACCACTGCTGGCATTCTCTTCGTCTGTGTCCGAATAATACGAAGGGTGATCGTGAGAGGGTAGAGAAAGCCATAGCAACCGCATATCTTCATTCTCTTTCCGAATTCGTGACATCTCATCTTGTCGTACACTTGGGGCGGCACGTCCAGAAGGCCCAGCAGCATGACCATTCAGATGAATGTCGCCATCCGTTTGAGACTCTAACGCTGCAGCTTCTTGAGCATCGGCGGGACCTTGTTGCACAAATTCACTTTCCTCTCCTTCTTCATTTGACGTCACTTGTGCCATTGGAGCTTGCTTGTCGCCATCCGATTGAAACTTTGATGGTGCAGCTTCTAGAACATCGACGGGACCTTGTTGCTCAACTTCACCTTTCTCTGCTTCTTCATTTGATGTAGCTTGCACTATTGGAGCTTGCTTGTCACCATCCGATTGAGGCTCTAATGCTGCAGCTTCTAGAACATCGGCGGGACCTTGTTGCTCAAGTCCACCTTTCCCAGCTTCTTCATTTGATGTAACTTGTGCTATTGGAGCCTGCTTGTCACCATCCAATTGAGACTCTAATGCTGCAGCTTCTAGAACATCGGCGGAACCATTTTGCTCAAGTTCGCCTTCCTCTGCTTCTTCATTTGATGTAGTTTGTGCTGTTGGAGCTTGCTTCTGCGGTTCTTCTTGTTTCACTGTGACACTTGATTGCTCTGGTACAACTTCATTTGCCACACTTTCATGTTGCTTATCTGCATCCGTTTGAGCATTTGCCAGCGTGGTTGAGTGTTCAGGTATCTGTACACCATCTGTACCTTCTTGCTGTTGAACCACATCTGTGGATGCGCTCGGTTCTAGCTGATCGGGTTGATTCCCATCCGAAATGTTTTGCTCCGGAAGGCTAGACACGTTTGCCTGCAAGTCGGACATCTTTATGCACTGTAATGAACCATAGGAACAATTTTGTTAGCTTTGCTATTGCCACGATTGATGATTGTTTGTTTTATAAGTCAGTAGTGCAAAAGAGCGTTGTCGGCATTAGCCTTGATCAACCACAAGGGTTGACAGAGCTATTCGAGTAGACGTTCTGAATTCTATTATTTCATCCCCAGCATGCATTCGAAATAGAAGCTGTAAATGTTGTTTGCTTGTACTTACCTTTTCTTCTTTCTCAGTGCTATATATGCGATCTTGACAGAAGAGATCACACAAGGTACATTGATGGATGATGGTCCAAGCTAACAAGATCATCTTTGGCCCGAGACTTTCTTGGGAGCTAGGCTCACGTGTGTATAAAAGCGTACAATGCTAAACAATACGCGTATATTCTACCTGCAGCCAATTAACAAGCACAAAAGCACAGTCAAGAAAGGTCAAAGCGGCTATGCAGCCTCTAAGCAAGGGGAAAGGCGAGCATTAAACGCGTTTTAGTTTAAATGGTGCCTTAGCGTATTTCATTCAAGAACAAAGAAGGGCGTTCTTTTTATACGGCATCCGAACGCATAAATTATGATGAGCCCATGATATTGCATACATTCACTCTTATGATCATCATCATCATTAGCATACATAACAGACGAAAGGAATCGAACGACGAGAAATGACACTCTGAACAAATTGTGCTTGTTTGCTCCATCATCTCCCTTATCACACCTATTCGACATACCCTGTGCACAATGAGTGGATCAAGACCTTCATCTTCTGGATCACTACCACAAACATCCTCTTACTACAAAAATAATATTGACGCAGCCAAAGTTGCACAACAAGATGATCGTTATAGACAGGCAAACGCACTCTATCGTTCTCCAAGTTCCGCTTCTCAACGTTCCCGTCAAGCATCACAGCCACAAACGCTTTCAGACGGAGATGGTACGGTAGATGTTGATCAAAATATAGCACAAGGATTAGGAGAAAGTGTTTCGAAAGAAACAGGATTGGAGTATAGAACTGCAAATGCATCTCGTACTTCTTTTGGATACGGAGGAAGAAAGAGTGGAGATGTGAGCAGAGATCACGATGAATTTCATGATGCAAACACTTTCTTACCTGCTAGAGATACGATTGGCAGAAGCACAGGATCAATTCTACCTTCTGCCGCATTCTTTGCGCCTAAAAAGCCTCCTCATGCAATCTCATCAGCATCTTATTCTCCCGGAACACCGATGACAAACCTGCCTTCATCATATCATAATCCTACTGAAACTGGTACGGAAACACAAACGACTTCGGGTAGAGGTGATCCTGTACCGCTTGATGGTCAAGGAAAAGAAAGAAGATTACAGCATCAGGTCAGCAGAGGTGCCTCACTTGCTCATACCAGCGTCTTGGATGCTGATGTTGCCATCATTTCAGCAAATGACGGTCGTGATGGTAGATCGATACGCGGACAAGCCAGTAGAGATGGTTTGTTATCAAAATCTGAATTCCAAGGTGGAAAACCAGACGTGTCACAAACATCTCTGCATAGCAAAGAGGCAAAAAAGAAAGGAGGTCGACCAAACTCTACAACACAACAAGCCAAAACTGCAACCATGATTCGGAGAACAGGTCAAAAAGGATACAAGCTACATCAAGGAGCAAATCGATTCTTTTTGGCAGGTTTCATTATGACAAGTGACGATAATCCTTTACCATTCCTTGCCAGCTTGGTTGTCATGATTGCACTTCCTGCTCTTTGGTTCATTTTCGTTGCACCGTATACCTGGCATCATATTTCTCCTGCGCCTGTGATTGTCTTTGCGTACCTGTTTGCTGTCGCGATCACAAGCATGTGCGTCACAGCTTGGAGAGATCCGGGTGTGATCCCGAGAGATTTGGATCCTGACCCACCTTGCAGAGCAGGCGAAGACGGTCAGTATATCGATACGAGTGACCCTCTTGCCGTTCCGCTACCACGGATCGTTCGAGTGAGAAACGGAACGGATCTCCAGGTCAAATGGTGCGATACATGCGGTACATATAGACCTCCAAGATGCAGTCATTGCAGAGTTTGCGATAATTGCGTGGAGAATATCGATCATCATTGTACCTTTCTCAACACATGTATCGGACGAAGGAACTACTTTACCTTTTTCGCTTTTTTGATCGCGAGCATCTTGTGTGCCTGTATCTCGATCGTCTTTTGTGTTTTACACATTTATTGTCTTACCAGATCGCCACAGACAACCTTACCGGCAGGAGGATTCGGAGAAGGGAAATCATTCCAGCAAGCTCTCAAAACGACTCCACTGAGTGCGGTCATTTTCTTCCTCTCAATCGCAGTCTTAATTCCGATAACAACGCTATTTTGCTATCATATTCGGCTAATCTGTTTAAATCGCACAACGGTTGAACAAATTCGAATCAACACGACAAAAGCATATAGCGAAAAGCCAAGTTATGACGAAGAAGCAGGTGAAGGAGGATCAATTGCACCGCCAAGTGCATTGAACCGTTGTTGTGCACGAATCTTACCTTGCTTTGATTTAGGTGTCAAAGGCAGAGATCCGAACCCGTTTGCTTATCAAAGTATGCTACGAAACGTACGTGCAGCATTATTAAGACCAATGACGGCAGACAGTTGGATGGATCGTTATAGACGCACACATATTGATGGAAGAAAGCCAAGTCCAGACAATAATAGCCATCATTCACGTATAGGTCAACCAATCCCGAGTTAAAGCATGATGCATGATATCGTCTCCCTCCCTTTGAGCATTGCCATCGCTACATCTCAACAATCTCATTACTAATATACCCACAATGCCATTCATTTGCATTCTTCAATTATTCTAGCAATTTTATGTGTAAGCAATTAAGCATGTACAGTGAATCTTTGGGAAGCAGATCAATTCTTGCCCATAAAGGGAATCTTGAATCGAGATTTCGAGGTAGACTTTTGTGTTTGACCGCCAGCAACGCTAGGTGTTTTGGCTGCTGCAGTTTGAATGGAAGCAGAAGATGATTGTGGTTTGCGTAAAGCGGCAGGCGTTGCGGGAACACCTTTTGCATCACCTTCCCGCCAAGCGGGCAACTTTTCTAAAAGTGCAAATTGGAATGCATCCAGAGCTTTGCGGGTATGCTTGAACGATGGTATTTGGGCGGAAGCGGTCTTGGGTTCGTATGAAATCGCACTTGGATCTGTTCCTTGTAGATGTTGATGAAGAGGATCAACGGCATCGAACCATGCCCATGGGAAATCTTGCATTTCCGTTCCGCGAACGTCGGTTTTTACAGTTCCGTCTTCTGCTTGAACTCTTTCTTCTTGTAACAATTCTAAGAGTAAACCATCAACATCTTCGATCCTGTCTCGCATTGACTTGCTTGGGAGATCGTCTGCGCATAAGCCACTCTGTGGAATTGCAGCTCCTGTTCCCAATAAGAAATTCTTTCGCATTTCCAATTCATACCATACTTTTTGCCACTTGACATATTCGGCAAGCTGATCGGCTTCTTTGACGATTCCACGTACATCTTCTTCCGTCAACGTATCATCTTGCAACAACGCTTCCAAATTCACTTCAACATTTTTGGCTTTCCGGTTGGCAGGATGATTAGGATCAGTTGTACTCAATGCCATGAAATCCGATCCTCCTTGTAACCAATGTGAAAATGGTCCAATGATTGCCGCACATTCATGGAATAAGAAATACAAGCTATTCTCATGACGAGCCGTTAAGGCGATCCAATCGGGTAATGTGTTTTGCGAATTCTTCTTTGTTTTAATGATATCGTCAAAGAAGTTTTGCAAATCACCTAATCGAGCGCTCAAATCGCTATGTTCAGCGATGCTTTTGATGGGACCATAAAAGACGGTATCCAAAGATTCTTTAATGATTTGAGGTAACAAACTTCCACTTGCCATTTGACATGCTTGTTCACGATCGCGTCTGTGTAATAATTCACGCAAGTATAGCTTCAGCATTGCATACTTTTTCGCATCTTTTTGTTCATCACGATCGTTTGTCCAGTTTTCGATCTTTGGCTTTTCGCCAGATTTTGCGATCGGCGTTGAATCAGGATAAGCAGCGCCTAATTGACCACGGTATGGGCTGCTTGCAAACGAATCATGCAAGTCCAAAACTTCATTCTTCTTTGATTGACTTAATTGAGGACCAGTTGCATAGATTAAGATTGTAGCCAGAACATCTTGTCCAGTGCGCAAAGCGCGACTGGCGATCGCTTTTCGTTCAGGACGATTACCACGTTTGACGTAATCTTCCAGCTTCGTAGTCAATTCGGTATCGGCGATTTCCCTCTTTAGTGGTTGAACATACTCCTTATTAATTGACGATGCTTGTCCTCCGATCACAGAAACGAAAATACGTTGAACCAATGACTTGGCTCCTGCAGGTCGGGCTAAAAGCAAGTTTAGTATACCCGAAATCATCGTTTGAGCGTTGGCAACTTTGAGTAATTGTTTTGCACCCCAATATGGAAATAAAAGATGGATACCTCTCAAGATATTGTAGAAGCTATCAGCGTTTGGCGAATTGACAAAAAGGGTATGGAAGATGTAAGCTGCATGATGTCGGGCATATTCTTCCGCATTTCTGTACTGCGGCGGCAAATTACGCAAGTTACCAACGTCCAAGAAAGCCATGGTCTCTTCTATACCGGTTTCCCGCTCGATATTGAATTCTTTGAATGCACGCCAATCCTTCTTTACTCGAGTTGTTTCTTTATGGGCTCTTCGCCAAACTTCGCCTTCGGCTCCATCGAATAGATTATCGATTCTTTCCATGAGTTTACCATCGGGACGTGCAGGTTTATCCAATCCTCTCTTGACCGTACCTTTACCCCACTCTTTACTCTTTCTCCAAGTTCCCGTTCCTGGTTCACCCTTTCCCGGGCCTTTTAGCTCCCCTTCTCCACGGACACCAACACCACGAGCAAAGAAGCCACCGAGATAACGTGTCATCGCCAACGTGTAGAAATGACGAGCACTTGTCTCGGACCGTTCGATAGAAGAACTGAAATTTCTTGCCGCCATTTCATCAAAGAAAGGCTGAATACGCTTTTGCCAGTACTTCTCCGGCGCTCTATCCAAGCCAGGAAATGTGTGCAAATGAACGTGGAACATATGACGAAGGATCAATGGTTCCATTAGACCTTCTTGCCTTCTTGCTTCATCTTCATCAATATCGGCATATGGATCATCAGCAGCTTCGGCAAATTCTCCTTTTGCGAATTCTCCTTCCAATTGCAAAGATTTATCTTTGACTCTCTTCAACTTTGGTCGATTGGCTGTGAAAGGGTATCCGTATTGTGTCAAAGCGCCTAACTTTTCCAATTCAGACCATTCCATCTGCATCTGGATGGATACCAAAGCTTTTAAAAGGTAATGTCGTTGAACGGGCGTCAACGGTTTGACGGGATCGGGACGTCTGCCGCGTTTGCGGGAAGAAGGTTGCAATTTGGATTGTTTTGAAGTCTTCTTTTCTTCATCAATCAAAGCTGTTGCATCACCATGATCAGCAGGTTTAGCATCATCAAATTGTTCGGGATCTTCATCAGGTACCTCTGGATCGTGTTCCGGATCTTTGCTTTTGTCTGCTGAAACGCCATTCTCGGTTTTACCAACGAGCAAAGCACCTGCACCGGCCAAAGCTGCAGAAACTCCTCCAGTTGCAGCGGCAATTATGCCACCGTTGCTGTCTTTTTGGTCTTCTTCTTCTTCTTTTTGTGCATTTCCGTTTGTCTTTGCAGAAGGATCTTTTAGATCATATTTTGGAACATCTTTGTCCAGATCACCAAAGATGCCACTTTCAGCACTTGTTCCATTTACCGCTTTTTGTTCTTGCTGATCGTTTGGATGAATGTCGCTTTCTTGATCTTGATGAGGTTCTGCATCTGGTTGTTCAGCTTCTTGAACGGAATCTTGAGTGTGATTTTGCACAGGTTCTTCTTCTGTATCTCCTTGAGCTGAAAGTGGGATACTGCTTGCACGTTTGTTATAATTTGTCTTTCTGAAATCTTGACTTGAACGAACGGAAGTTGTTTCACTGCCAGATCTTTGTTTTGTTGCTCTTCCGAATGATTTAAAACGTCCAAAAGTACCTCCGCTTGCTATGCTTGAATCACCTTCATCATTTTCTGCTAATAAACTGCCAGAACGATTTCTGATCGTACCCGGTTGACGTACTTCAGGGTTGACAGGTTCAACGACATTGTAATTTGTTGATGTTGGCCTACTGCTCATTGAACCTAAGATGCTCCTCTTACTTGGCTTCTTGGCGGAGGACATGATGATGAAGTCTGCAATGATTACAAAGAAGGATGATGGAAGATAGGAATCAAAAACGATGAGCAGACCCTTGAGCTAATATTCATTTGCTGTTTAGCCAAAGTACCGGCATTGATTTTCATTCGGCTTGATTAATGAAGTGTGCCACTTTTACGCATATGAACAGCATAAACAAATCCTTTCACATCCATTCATGCTAATCCAAATGAGAAACCGCACTGATCAAATGCACCCTTCTAGCTCAGTCTGTGCGTTTAGCGGGGAAATTAAATCAAATCATTAGCCCCACTTTAGCATGAAAGAGCATGTACACCCTCTCTCGAAACTGAGACAATCACACACAATTCTTGCCCTTCCCGCTTTCCCGCCCTCGCTTGACTCTTTCATTCAAATCAACAACGATTAACAGCATTGCCGATTGCAGTGCTTTCTTTACAGATGCATTGATCTGTGTATATGCTCACTAATGAATGCATTACAATGTGCAAAGACCATCTTGCATTTATTAATGATGACATTCAATAATACAATCACACCTGCTATATTCTACAATCCAACACTTCGAAATATTCCAAGCCATCCTCTTGAACCCCAATTGACCCATTGTGATGCACTTTCGATCATTTGTGTACCAAAGACAGAATGCGGTCTTGCAAGTCTACGTAAAACATGAACGGATTGATGTGCATCACCTTGAAAATCTGGACTGAGAAGGTGTAATTCTGCCATCAAGAAAGCATTTGTTAATCGTGTTCGATGGGTATACCAATCCGTTCCAAGCCTTCCTTTCCATTTTGCCATATGAATCGCTTCATCTGTTACCTGCCATGCTCTTTGCATGATGGGAAGTGGCGTCGGTATAGAAGAGAATGCTTGTCGATCTTTTGCGGCTGTGAGTACTGCTAATGCATCGACTATATGCTCTCGAAAAGGTACGCTGTGTAATAGCTTTCCTGCCAATAGCAATTCCACCTGTTCTATCGCTCGTCTGTCTCCTGCATTCCTTTCCTCACTATCCGGATGTGATGACTCTGAAGGAAGAAGTGAAGAAGAAGCCACTTTTAAACCTTCCTTATCAAATTGTGTGAGAAGCTGCTTAGAGATCTCGATCTGATTGGGGAACAAAACAGCAAGCTCCTCTTCATTGTCAATCGTAATCTTTCCCGAAGTGATTGCAGCGCGAATGGAACGTAGAGTGAAGCCATGCTGTTGTATGTATGGCTGTGCTTGAGTGATGAATTGTCGTATTCTTGTCGAATTGGACATCTTGTCAATCAGAGCGTTGAATAATACTGTTTGGTGATCATCAAATAGATATCATGACCACAAAATTTGATCTTCTTATTTGTCTGTGCATATAAGTAGGATGTTGATTATATAATTTGATCTGCCTTTACCTACAGCGCCGCGCGGGCACATGAGCTAAAAGAGAACGCCAGCCTGCCTGTACGACGACACTATGAGGTCAAGAAGATTGCTGGCTTAAAGTCGTGCAAAATAGACTTTCTCCAGATCTTGATTCGCATTCACTAAACCACCACCACCATATCCTCAATCTCTAATTATGGTACGTACAATTTGGGAACAAACAAAAACAAAACTCATACTAATCGAAATGGGCCTCTCTCTTTCCCTCCCCACAGTCTGAAGGAGCACAAACATCTCAAGCCAATTTGGCTGCCCTAGCCGCACGCAACTCAAATACAGTTCGGTATGTTGGACGGATGGCATTGATCGTTATTTGTAGACTTACATCTTCTTTTTTTTTTCTTACAAACAGCCGACGTGCTGCTCAACAAGCGGCTACAAGACCGAACAGTACCCGTGCTGCAGGCGCAGGAGGCAGTTCGAGCACAATGATGAAATTATACACAGATGATAACAAAGGTCTTACAGTGTGAGTATGCATTTCATACACACATAACGTTTATTGAAACAATTCTCACCCTCTATCATCTCGTCATCTCTTGCCCCTTTCGACAGTGATCCCGTCGTTGTTTTGGTATTGGCAATCTCGTTCGTTTTCTCTGTGGTGGTGTTGCACGTCGGATCAAAATTGGCACGTATCTTCCTAAAGTGAAAGGCAAGGCCATCCATTCATTACTAGTCTCAAATCAGTGCTCAGAAAGCACTTGTATTCTTGTACGACAATATCATTTGATCATCTCAATTCCAGAAGGAAAGCTAAATAGTGCAAGTGTGTACAACATTAACAAAAAAAAGATACATTCAACATGAATATGCGCTTAACAAAAGTCGTACAAAGGAATTGATTCCGGTGAAAACCATCAGTGCCACTTCAAGAAAAGAGGAGAGATAGATCATTATGGGAGTGTTGATGTGGGATCTGTGTTATATCGTATAAGCATTACACATGGCCTTGCGTGAAAATCTGCCGCACTTCTTATTTCTGACCACCTGCTCCTTGGCCTAAAAGTGCCATAAGATGCGCTGCACCTTGGTTATCAGTATGATTCGAAACAGGGCTATTGTTTTGCCAATTATCCATTCCACCATTATTTCCGCCAAATTGCATAGGTGTTTGTGCTTGAGGAGGAGGGCCTGGACGTCCGCCTTGCATATGCATACCTTGAGGGAACATATGCGGTGGTGGTGGGTTAGAATGGAAGTGCTGGGCAATAATTTGATGTTGAACGTGAGGCGGTAGTCCCATCAGCTGTTGATGTAATTGAGGTGGTAGCGGTGGTAGCCCTGGGGGTCTCATTCCAGGTGGAAATGGTGGAAAGCCCGCTCCCGGAGGCGGTGGTGGGATTCCTCCTGCAGCGTGTGGTGGAGGAGGTGGTGGTAGATGAGGCATTCCACTCATTCCACCAGGCGATCGTGCTGCGCCCATCATCCGTGGGTCCATGCCGAATCCTTGAGGAGGTCCATATAACGGCTGTTGACCACGCCATCCAGGAGGCGGTGGTGGCGGGCCACTTTGTGCTTCATGGTGTCTATCACCATTGTTGGCATTATCATGTCTGTTTCTCTGAGGTGAACCCATACTTGCATTATCCGATCGGTACAATTGTGAAGCAGAGCTATGGCTAGGCGAACCGTGTTGGCCGAGACTATTACCGCTCAAATTTAATCCCGGCGGGCCGGAAGGCTGTCCTTGGCGATCATCTTGTTCGGAGGACTGATTTCTGTTTGGGTTTTGATCATTAGTGGGAGTACCACCACCGTTTAACAATGCCATAATCTTTTGCATACCCTGTACATCTGCGTCACTATGATCGCGCCGCAGACCAGGAGGTGGTTGATGAGAAGCGGATGGTGATTGTTCGTTTTGAGGGTACTGTTGCTGTTGCTGCTGTTGCCTTCCTACTGTCATGCTTCGGAACAGATCAGCCATGCTCACTGAGGAACCAGTTGTGGGGGCGGGTGATTCGGGATTTGCTTCAGCAGTGTGATTCTGAGGCTTAGGCGATGGTTGACCTTGCTGTTCAGAAGTACCCATGGTAGTTTTCATTGCTTCCATCTGCTTTTGTTGTGCAGCAAGAGCCGAAGCTTGAGGTTTTCCGTCAAAGAAACGAGCAAATCGACTGGTACGGCCTGGTAAACCTGGAGGATCTACGCTTACATCTCCAGCAGAAGATGAAGTGCTAAGATCTGCCTCTTGTTGTTTAGCTTGTGCTCTTTGCTTGGCCGAAGATGCGAAATTGTCGAAAAGTGCTGCTTGTGATCTGTCACCGACGCCTGAGCTGCCTGTACTTACATCTTCTGTACGTGCTAATCCAGGCGGTGGACCTGAGGAAAGACCTGCAGTGAGACTATTGTTAGAATGCTCTTTGTCATTGCTACCACTCATGCCTTCTTCCCGTTCACGCATTCGACGTTCTTTCTCTCGCATTCGCACTTTGAAGGCTTGAATGCTGTCCATACCCGAAACATCCACGTCATCCACATTGATATCATCATGTTCATCAAATCGATCTTTTTGACCTCCGATGCTGTCTTGACCTTCACCATCTGCGCCCATCCATGCAGGTTCAGAGTCATCTGCCATCCATGATGGGAATGCAGTTTTACGACCGCCAAATTCTCTTTCTTTTGTCAATCGATTCGCACCCAGCCTGCCTGGACCTGCGCTATTTGGTACAGAAGTTCCTTTTCTCCAATCAGCGGCCGCATCAGCAGCATGATGACGATTTCTACGATCTGCTTCGGGTGAACGGGGTACGCTTTCCCATTCGTCATCTTCATCTTCTCCTTGAGCACCAATCTGTCTTCTTCTACCGCTAACGAGGTCTGCGCCAGTACTTCCCATCCTTTGACGAGCGCGTTCTTCCATAGGCGAATGAGGAGGACCATCGCGATCACGACCAAATTTACCCATCACACCGAATCTACGATCGTTTCCAGGGCTTTCAGGGCCATATCCGCCTGGTGACAGGCCAGAAAGATCCCTTCCGGCAGGTCTGAATGCACCCGAAGAAGAAACTTGACCAAACGGATTCTTGCCTGATTGGGCAAGCTTTCTAGCATCTACACTTCTTCCTGCAGGATCAGAAGTGGATGGATAGGTAGAACCATACTCTGGCTTTCTTCCAAACCGATCTGCTCTTCTTCCTCCCGGATGACCAGTATATTCGCCGCCTGCAATGCTACCTCCATTACCTTCTTCAGCTGCAATTGCATTCGTTCCAGCATTTGATCCTCTTTCACCACGATTATATTTATCCGATTTGACGAAACTTCCCATTGGTGCATGTTGGCCGTGATGTTGGAATCTAGGATGATAGGGTTCCCAATCACCATACCATTGATTTAATTCAGGCATATCAGAAGGAGGTTTGACCAATGGACTTTTGCTTAAAGCCAACAAAAGCGATCTAGAATATGTTTTTGAACTTCTTTCATTTTCCGTTTGTCTCTTGTCCGTTTTCGTTCCCGATTCATTTTGCGGATGCCCTAATCCTGGGGGAGGACCGATGACCGTTGTCATGGCCTACTTTCCTTCTTTCGATGTTGATGTTGAACAATATGAATGGACCAAATCTTTGTGAGAAAAACAATTACAGAAGGCCAAACAAGATAGACGAATCTTTTGCTTGACTTTTGATACTTGTTTTGCTATTACCGAATTGATTGCAATGAGAGCAAGTAAGAGGATGTTCCTTATTCGACAGCAATAACAAATAAATAGCGGCTAGTAAAGTCCACATTTGAGTGGTGCACAAGCCTTTGTGTATGTGTATGTGTATGTGTGTACTTTACCGCATTAATCGTCAATGCGCAGACACCCCCAATTCATATATTGTATTCTGCCTGCGCCCAGGCTATATTCATATTCATACTCTAAAATTCTATAGGCTTCTGCACGTGTCTCTCGTAAAATTTGAAAGAGGTGCGTCCGGGCATTGGTTTTGTTTTGGCGGAGTGATGACTATTCATATTATCACAACGCCCGGTGCCTTTCATCTCTCTCTCTCTTACATGATCACATCCTCAACACAACAAAAGGCAACGATAAAGGTCGGGAAAAGATGGATGAAGGAGATACATGTAGAATCTGCAGAACGGGAGCAGAAGAGGATACACCCCTCTATCATCCCTGTAAATGTAGCGGCTCGATTGCAAAAGTACATCAAGATTGTCTAATAGAGTGGCTACAGCATAGCAAAAAGAAATCATGCGAATTATGTCATACTGAACTTCGATTTCACAAGGTATACTCACCTTCTATGCCAGTCAAATTACCACTATATCTCTATATCCGTAGATTGATATTGAAAATCTTACAAGCTTTTCGATTCGCTTTACGAGCTGTATTCGTTGGAACAGCATGGTTAGCCTTGCTTCCATTGGGCAATCTATACATTTGGCGATTACACTTCTTCACAGTTGACGCGCTGGTCTGGGGAATCACTGGTAATGATGTACCAACGCCTCAAGTCCGTCTTAATGCATCAATGACCGCCAACGATTCATCGTCTCTTGCAACTTCAGTCTTCTCAGCAGCGAATGCCACATTGACTGCTATCAGTAGCAATGCAGACAGCCAACAACATTCGCCAGATACGATTCGGATACCTTTCCCTCTTTTATTTCTGGATAAGCTGATCATGCGAACGCTCAATCATGCTGATTATCGTCGCATTCTCGATACGTTAGCACACGACACTTTTGAAGGACAGATATTAACATGCGCTGTCGTGGTTCTTTTTGTCGCTTTATTTCTTCTCAGAGAATGGTGTTTGCAAAATATGCCACAACAAGTCGATGGTCTTCAATTCGATCCCAATCCTCCCCAAGCGCCTGTCAATCGACCAGCTATTGCAGAAGCTCCTGCTTTCCCAGCCAACCGACCTGAAGATGTTCGACCTATCGCAGCATTCAATCAGCAACCTGCCCCGTTAGCCGGGAATCCTTTCCAAGATGTTGTCGTACCTCAAGAGCATCTTAGGGAAGGTAACGGACATCGTGAGCAAGAGGACGATTCTGATGTATCAGACAATAATGCGGCTACAGCAGGCTCCGATGATAACTCGATAGACGAAAATCGAGAGGAGAGGCATGAGGCACGAGAGCAAAGAGCACCGAACTTTGAAGCTCAGCTTGATCATTTCCTCAATGGTCTCAATAATGAGGAAGACGAAGATCATCAAAACAACAATGAAGCCGAACAAATAGACAGACGCATTCAACAGTTATTCAGACCTGCAGAGGACCGCAATGAGAACATAAATCAAGCAGAGGTACAAGCTCGCGAACCACAAATCAGACCTCCACCAATCGTGATGGGAAATCAAAATTTGGCAAACCCTGCACCAAACATCGATGCTGCTGATTGGGAAGACGAGGGCGAAAACGGAGAGAGATTAGAAGATGACTTAGAAGGAATGATGGAAGCAATTGGTATGAGAGGTCCTCTAATCAATTTGATCACGAATATGACGATGATGTTTGTTCTTTGTAGCTTCATCTTGACAGTTTTCGTTGCTCTACCGTATGGCATTGGTCGCACGATCGGCGTTGGTCACAATATGGCTAAACTGGTAACTTTACCTGTTCGTTTGTTACGTCTCTTAACCGATCCCCTCGTTGACTGGATGGTAGATTACTGCAAGTCAATTTTTGTTTCGCTTTACGGCGCTCAAAAGAGTCAATCGGCAGGGCCAGCGTTAGTGAGGGGAGCTCCTTCGATATTGCGAAAGTGGTGGAGCGGATCTGGAAATTCAGCAGCCGTAGTACTATCTGTGAAGGATGCAAGTGGAATGACAGGGCCAGGTCAAGCTCTTAAGACGACACTTTTTGCTCTAGGAGGCAATGTACTCCAATCGTCAAGGCAAGTATACTCAGAATTAGATGCAAAGACATATGCTAGAACAAGCTCTGATCGAGCATTCTGTATCGGTCTTGGACACTTCTACTGGCTGATAGGATTGGCAATTCAAAACAGATTATCCGATGTGTATATCCGATGGAATCTAAGAGCTTTGAAGACATTTGTCGATCAACAAATCGTCGTTCTCAAGGTGCTGGGATTCATCGTTCTCGAATTGGTCGTTTTCCCGTTGTGTTGTGGTATTTTGACGGATTTATCTCTGCACCCGTTGTGGGAAGGTGTTACCATTCATTCCCGTATTGCTCTCATTCAAAGCAAGCCTTTCAGCGTATGTTTTACGCTTTGGTCTTTGGGAACTTTGTACATGTTTGCATTGGCTCAATTTGTGGCCCATACTCGTAGTATTGTGCGGCCAGGTGTATTATGCTTCGTTCGTGATGCGGGCGATCCAAACTTTCATCCGATTAAAGACATTCTCGAACGTCGATCTCTGGAACAACTACGCAAGATTGGAATTAGTGGCATAATTTACAGCAGTATTTTAGCCGTCACTTTGGGCTTATGCACTCGAATTGTTGCTTGGACGACGTATGGTATCCTGCCATTGAATTGGAACGTTCATCAAACGTTTAGCAGCGTTGGCTTTGAGTTGGTAGGAATTGCTGTTCTTTTACCTGTTGCTGCGAAAGCATGGTTCCCTGGACATTGGCTCAAACGTGCAGCAAAAAGGTGGTGGAGATCAACTGCTCATGCTTTGAGCATATCGTCGTATCTGATCGGCGGTCGTTACCCGAATGAAGAAGTGCCCACCAATTCTTGGGACTCCCTTAAAGGTTGGTTATTGGATCATTTGCGATCGATTGGTGTCGTTGCTGAGCAAGATCAATTAACAGATGAGAATGAAGTCACTACGAAAGGATCCATTGCTTGGGGAGGATATGGACGTGTGCCAGCAGATGATCATGCTATCATGTCATCACCACTAGTGATTAGGACTGATGCAAGTGGGCAACCGATCGAAGCCAGAGGAAAGGAAGCAATGAAGGCACAAGTTGAAGCTATCGAAAAAGTGACGACAAAGAAGCCCCAGTATACCGTTGTTCACCTACCTGACCAATTCAGAGCTAGGATCATTACCCTTTTTGTTGCCATTTGGCTGACATTGTGCACTATTCTACTCACAATCTTTTTGCCGCCTTTGCTAATCGGAAGATCAACGATTCAAGTGATCAAATGGCAAGGTTCAAGAAATGTAACATTAGCACAACAGCACAATGCGCCAATGCATGATGGTCTTGCATGGTTCGTCGGCTGTTGTGTTTTCGGTATCTCCCATACGGTTGGATCGAAGTTGCAGCGGATGTACCTTAAAATGCGAACAAGTAGTAACGCAACTCGAAGATTTGGCAAGCATGTCCGTCGATTCCTTCAACGATGCGCTCTTATCTTTTTGTTTGGAATTGTGACGAGCACTTCTTTGGGTATACTTGTGGAAATGTATGTCAACGGCTTAACACGGATATTTACCGGATCAGCTCGTATGCCAGACATTTCTCTCTTTCATGTTTGGTCTATGGGTTTGATGGAACAACATCTAGCCTATGAGGTCGTTCGCATACGTAGAGGACGTACATTTAGACCTGATTGGGAAAACGCAAGTATGCGATCACTTTCTAATCATACTTTAGGTCCTATGTACGCTTTGCTTGATGTACAAAATGGTGGATGGCGAAAACCAAAGCTTATGACGATGATCAAGAAAGCTTTCTTACCTGCAATCAGTATTCATGCTCTAGCAATCGGAGTACCGATTTTTGCATGTCATTTGATTGCAAAGTTCAATAAAGACGCAGCGGAAGAATTACGAGCAGCGAACATATCTATCATTTATGCCATTTGTCTATCTTATGGTACCGTCAGCTTACTATTGCAAAATATTACCAACCTTATGAATAGTTGGACGGACATCTTGAAAGATGAACATTTTTTGATTTCTACTGAATTGAAAAATTATCAAGCAAACCTTTCTAGCGAGAATGCATCAGGAGATCAAAGCAACGGACAAGCAACTGAACCAGCAAACGCTCTTCCAGACAGAGGTGATGCTCGTTTGAATGCTGAAGGACCTATTCCTGAAGCTTTATTACGTCCATAAAACAATAGAAAACAGAAAAAGTCATTTGAACAGCATCATGCACAACAACACTCATTGTATTATTATTTTTCTCAATCATCTTGTGATCTCTTTTGTACCATACCCAAAAAAGCAGAGAATATGACATCTTTGATGTATATCCATAAGCCATTCCTTGCCAGTAAGTAAATACCATCTTCCAACAATTCTTGATTTTCAGCCAAACACGCACAGATCACCACCACCAACACATTCCAACACTAAGGGCGTTTATCAAAGCAGACTGTTCAAGTGCCGTTTTATTTAATACGTGTTTAACGTATCACAAACACAGACACACGCCTTTTGCATGACAAGGCAACCTTTACTACTTACACATACGATCAAACAATCATATTGGCGATCGATGATTTGCTTTTCCGAATGAGAAGATCTTGTTGAAGCATACGAAAATGTCATCTCGTCGTAATAATGTACAACAGCAACAACAGCATATTCGATCTCCTACCAAAACTACATGGGAAGATGATGCTTGGAAGATTGATTCAGATGATGAAGATTTCGTGAAAGCCAGTAGAGTACAAACATCAGGACCGTCTTCTTCAGCTGTTGCAAAACTTTTGGATGGATCATCCCAAACCGGCTCAAATGGACGTACTATCAATACAGAACCGACAAGTGGAATACAACAGTCAAAATCACCTCAAAGGCACGCACCGCCTGCTAGACCTCATCCGTATTCAACCCTTTCGTCAGAATATGCAACTAGCTCTAATGGAATGAGATCGGAAGGAAGGGGGAATAGTCGTGAAATTCAAGATGATTCTACTAAAAGGGTAAGCACTTCTAGTTCAGCTGCCCATCAAACGGCAGGACAATGGATGATGGTGGAAAGAAGTGGAAGTACAGGAAGTGCTCAAGCTGTTGCACCGATACAAAGCACAGGCAATACTCAAATATCTGGTTCAGCTATCGATGATGAAGAAGTGGAACAATCACCAAAAGCTAAGCGAGAAGCATTACATAGAGACATGTTAGCAGCGATACAAGATGATCTAGAAGATGTTCTACAGGATCCGACAGAGATGTTGAGTAGGCTGTCTATCCGACCCAATGCAATCAATGGATCAAGATCTTCATCACAAAAGCGTGTCCCGAAAATTGCAAGTGACGTACCATCTAATGGATCAGCAGAGAGTAGTAACACACAAACAGCATTAGACGCCGCTAATGCCGTCGTTGCGGTTGATGGAATCGTGACAAATTTACCGGCATCGTCCGATAAATTTGATGCAAGGTCGCTAGATGTTCCTGCTGGTAGCGAAGTAGTAGTCTTGTCGGATGCTAATTTGGAAAGACGGCAAAGCATACGATCGGAAAGACGCAAAGCTGGTTTTATAAAGTGCTTGAACGAAGATGTTGTTCGAATGGATGAATTACGTACACTTGCTTGGGCCGGAGTGCCTGATGATCTACGTCCGATCATATGGATGTTGTTGCTAGGCTATCTACCTCCAAACAAAGCGATGAGAAAACAAGCTTTGGCACGCAAACGAGCAGAATACGTAAGTGGTGTACGGAACGCATTTCAACGGGGTACAGAAGAATTGGATCAGGCGATATGGCATCAAATCCATATTGATGTTCCTAGGACAAATCCGGGCATCCGTCTATGGCAAAGGGAAGTGACGCAAAGGGCATTAGAGCGTATTCTTTATGTTTGGGCCATCAGACATCCGGCGAGCGGCTACGTGCAAGGTATCAATGACTTAGCAACACCATTCTTTGAAGTGTTCTTAGGCGCTTATATCTCTACAGATCCTGAGGAGTATGACATTGCGCTCTTACCGCCTGCTGCTTTAGAGGCTCTAGAAGCGGATACGTTCTGGTGTCTATCGAAACTTTTGGATGGCATTCAGGACAACTACATCTTTGCACAGCCTGGAATTCAACGGCAAGTTAGAAGGATGGGCGAATTAGTATCTCGAATCAATCCTGCCTTGCATGGACATCTGGAAGATCAAAATGTGGAATATATGCAATTCGCATTTAGATGGATGAATTGCTTATTGATGAGAGAAATGAGCGTTAGAAATATCGTTCGAATGTGGGATTCGTATTTGGCAGAAGGACCAGATGCATTTTCCGAATTTCACCTTTTCGTTTGTGCTGCATTCTTGGATCGTTGGAGCGATGAATTACGTCAAATGGACTTTCAGGGCATCATTATGTTTTTGCAAAGTTTGCCTACCCAGAATTGGTCCGCAAAAGAAACTGAATTATTGCTCGCAGACGCATTTGTGTGAGTACGAAAAGGGGGAATAGCTCTCAACCATTTACTGACCTCTTCTTTTCTGACTTGCCTTTCTTGATACAGAAAAAAGAGTCTTTTTGGCGGAACCGCTCATCTGACCAATTGATCGCATGTAGATCATGAACTCAATGACTAACACTTCATTCAATACATTTGAGACTTTTTTGGAGAGTGAGATATGTGGTAATTATACAAATCAATGGAACGAGAGTGAGTAATTTTAATGTTTGTTGATTCTTGAGGTTTGTTCGTTCTTGAGGTTTCTTCATTCTTGGTGTTGGTTGATTCTAGCTGTTTGCGTGTTCATCCTGTTCGTTGATTCAATTTTCTTCTTCCGACGAAGAAAGGATGACAAGGTTTCCCTTGCCCAGAGATTTTTTAAGCTCTTTCTTTGAGGATTTGTCCAAAACACTTTGTTTGGATAGCTTCTTCTTTGTTCCTACTGGCTTGCCCGGCGGCAACAGATACATGTCATCATACAAATCATCGGAATGTGCTGCCGATTTGGCCGCCTTTGGTGGCCTGCCTCTTTTCTTCTGTTCCTTGTTTGTTTTCTTCGAAGATCCTTCTTGCTGCTCCTGACTGGAACTCATTTGCAACTTTCTCCTTGCGGCAGCAGGATCTGCAAATTTAGAAAATTTTTTCGTAGTTGATCTCTTAGTGGGTACCCTGTCATCGTGATCAGAATCGATGGCACTAGAGATTTCGCCATCCTCTCTTGCCACGTCTTCGAGTGGCGTCAGAGAGCTTGTAGGATTGACAGGAGGGCTCGGCTTTCTGGAGAAGGGTACGTCTTTGCGTGGCGTCAGAGAGTTTGTAGGATTGACGGAAGTGCTTGGCTTTTTGGAAAAGCGTGCATCTTCGAGTGGTGTGAGGGAGCTTGTAGGATTGAGAGGAGTGCCCGGCTTTTTGGAGAGGAAGCCATACGCTTCCATCGCTCCTTCTACCAACGTTCTTCCCTCACGTACTTCCGGTGTTCGAATACCATCCAAAACGCTGGGACGAGGACGAGGGCGGATTCGGGAACGCTTTGCGCCCTGTTCTTTGATTTCTGCAGGAGGGTCTTTTCTCTTTGTGGCGGAGACATCATTTCCCTTTGTGGCAGTAACAACATTTCCCTTTGTGGCAGGAACAACATTTCCCTTTGTGGCAGAAACATCGTTCCTCTTCGTGGCAGAAGTATCATTTCCTTTTGTCGTAGGAGAACTTGATTGAACTTGGATGTATGCGCGAGTTTCGTGTGAATTTTGCCTTTTCGATAACTTTTCTCTTTTTGGTGAGATATCCTTTTTTGGTGATGAGTCAATGTGTAATGGTGCATCTTCGGATGGCGTCAAAGAGCTTGTAGGATTGATAGGAGGGCTCGACTTTTTGGAGAAGCCATCCGTTTCCATCGCTCCTTCTACCGAAGTTCTTCCCTCACGTACTTCCGGTGCTCGAATGCCGTCCAAAACGCTGGGACGAGGACGAGGGCGAATTCGGGAACGCTTTGCGCCCTGCTCCTTGATTTCTGCAGGAGGATTTTTTCTCTTTGCGGCAGGAACATCACTTCCCGTTGTGGCAGGAACATCATTTTCCTTCGTGGCAGGAGCATCATTTCCCTTTGTGGCAGAAGCATCATTTCCCTTTGTGGCAGAAAGATCATTTCTCTTTGGGGCAGAAACATCATTTCTCTTCGTGGCAGAAACATCATTTTTCTTCGTGGCAGACACATCATTTCTCTTCGTGGCAGAAACATCATTTCCTTTTGTCGTGGGAGAACTTGTTTGAACTTGGATGTATGCGCGAGTTTCGAGTGAGTTTTGTTTTTTCGATGGATCTTCTCTTTTTGTTGAAATATCCTTTATTGGTGATGAGTCAATGTGTAATGTATCAAGATCGATCACTTCAGATGGATCGAAAGCCTTGAATGGCGGTGGAGATGGGGACAATTGAAAGATGCCCCTAGTCATGATTTTTGCTGGATGGTGGTAGGAAGACGGTGAAAGGATTAATTATATTGATTTAATACACGGCTCCGAATCGAACGCCAAATGAAATGCAAAATGATTGATCGTGGGAATGTGTTGAGGTGCATACATGTACACAGTAATGCCATATCACTCTTTAGCTCATTTTTGGGGTTTGAATGGACAATTGTCTGGAATAGAAAGAAGTGGGTCTCGAATAGTAAAATGAAAATAGAAAAAGTAGATCTCGAATAGAAAAATGATATGATGCTTAAGGCAAGACCATTGGAACGTCGTTAATGAAATCGAAGCTTTCCATCTGTTGAACAACTTCGCCCAACTCTTTTTTGAGTCAGGGTATTTTTCTTACGCTTCCTCAAATTTTGTTTTCCCATTGATCGCGCTCTGATTCAATACGATGAAGTTGACTTTCAAAATGTTCTGCTTTCACATCTACTTTGCGGAGTCTGAGAAAAGAATGAGTAATAAATTGTCGTTGACTATCGCCATTAGCATATACTCAACCTTCCATATTAATGAACTCAGTGTAGGCCACATCTTGTTTCATTCTTTATTGCTTCATACATGTTTTTGAGATCGGGGGAAGTCAACCGTCGAAAGCACAGGAATGTGGGAGGTGGTGTTTGAAGGATAAAGGGGAAAATTCAAATCTTCCAGAGGAAGTAAGCTCTTTGTGATGCATTGGTGATCAAGTTGGCCGACATATCATCCGCAATCACTATTTAATGTCATATCACTCTTCAGCTCACATTTAGGGATTACAATGGTCAATTGTGAGAATTTGAAAAAAAGTAGTTTATCGAATACAAGAATGGTGTGTTGCCAGCAGCAAGACTGTTGAAATGTGGTCAACGATATCAAAGGCTTTCCATTTGTTGAACAACTTCGTCCAATTCTTTTTTCGAAGCATAATACTTTTCTTGCGCTTCTTCGAACTTTCTCTCCCATTGATCGCGCTCTGATTCAACACGATGAACTTGCTTTTCGAAGTGTTCTGCTTTCACATCAACTTGGCGGAGTCTGAAGAAAGAATGGGACAATAAATTTTAGTTGACGATCACTAACAGCTATCAAGTTTTGCATACACTCACTTTTCTGTTGTCTCGCGCAAGTTCTTTTCCGTTGTTTCCAGTTCTTCTTCCAACATGGATAATTTGCGCTGCAAGATGTCGGCATTTGACTTGGAATCATCTTCTGACAATTTGGAAGCCTTGTGATCCTTCACTTGCGCTTCGACCTTTTCAAGATCTGCCTCCATGACGTTGAGCTTATGTTGAAGAGATGTGATTTCTTGGTCTTTCTGCAGATTTTCTTGTTCTAGATGTTTGTTTTTGGCTTCTGCTGCCTCTGCTCGTTCTAGAGCAGCGTCTGCTTCTGCGCGTAAGGAGTTCAATTTCTGTTTGGGTGATGGTGGTTAATGTTTGAATATGATGTGAGTAGAAGGACCAGAATGTATGCAGTTTCGCATTCGGTCAATTTCGGATCCAAGAAGCATGATTGCAGCGCACGGACAGAAACAGTAGAATTTCCCATAGGCGTACGATCAACGGGGCAAAAGGTTCAAGATCGAATAGTCCAAGTTCATTAGATGCGTCCGATGAAGTAGCCATTTGCAATGATTGCGGTGTTGTTGTCATAGCGAAAGGTGACAAGGAAGACGATCGGGAAGGGAAGCGGGAAGAGGAAAGAGAAAATAACAAGAGAACTGTAAGAATCGAACCATTAAAGGAAAGTTATTTTGAAAGAAGACTCTTTACGACACTTACCTCTTTGATGCGATCCTACGACAATCAGATTAGAGAGGAGCGGGAAAAGCAAATAGAAGTCAGCTATCAGTTCACGAAGCAGGATGATATCAACAATCGGGTTGCCTATCTTGATGAAGTGGTATCCGATCGGTTGTCATCCCTTCGGAAAGGTTCGAGAAATCTCGCGTTGGTAGGCTGAGGATTCTTTCTTGAGATGACTTACCATTATGAAGATAAGATGTCAAGAATGTGAAAAAAGATGATGATGAAGAAAGAGGTAAAGGATGATTAGGTGTGAATGAGTTTGTGTTAGTGCTTATATGGCCGTGCGCACGCGTGCGATTCAAATGGGACTCTTTTTTGCTGGCTGCTGCTGGCCCTTTTTCTTACACGTCGTCGTGTTGATTGTGTTGATTGTTTTATTAGTGACTTTACCACTGTTGTTAAATTTAGCCTAAGAGGTGACCCCTAGAAAAAAAAGAGCAACACATACTCTGTACACCCACGCACTGCATCTCTCGCCCTTTTTTGCAGCAAATGTGCTGGCGGAATAACATGCTTCAAGGCTACTTCATACCCTATGATGTATGCCGTTGGCGAGATCTATTCCTGTATGTGATCATTTATTCCCGCTGAATTGGCTGCCTTCTCACATTGAGCGTAGATGTATTCAATTAAAGATTAGAGACAATAACAGAAACAGAGAGAGAGAGAGACACACACATTTGAGGACAGCATAAGCAGGGGATTTAGAAGACTTGGTAAGTTGAAGCTGGAAATATTCCATTCAAACTTGAACACCAAGCATTCATTAAACAAAAAGCAAGGAGCAGAATTGAAGAAAGAAAAAGCACAAATTTTGAAAGAGGATCAAGAAAGTCGCCCATTGGCCAGAAGGCAAAAAAGGAAGGGTATCATTTGGTTCCATTTCGGTCGTCATTGGGGCATTATCGTATCAAATATCGTCATTTGGCAATTCAGACTTCGTCTAATTAGTTGTTGTAATGCTGGCTTGACGACGAGCACGGTCTTTGTCATTGACAATCTTTTGATCGCGCAATTCATCGATACGCTTCTTTGCCTTATCAAAAGCTTCTTGTGTTGCCGTTGTATGTTTCTTTTTGATGTCCAATTCATCTACAGCTTTTTTCAAAGCAGCTTGTGCTTTCTCGAATTCCAATTTGTACTTGTTAAACGTTTTCGAGGCTTTGTGTTCATCATGAATAGCAGATTGATGACGCTTTTCACTTTGTTTTTCTGCCTTGTTGGCTTTTCGCAACGGCTTTTCAAGATTTTGTGCATCTTTGATTGCCTTTGCCAAATCTTTCTCATCATTCTTTGCTTCTTTCTTCAATAATTTAGTGTATTGCTTTGCTTCTTTTGGTTTCATAGCCATTTCAGGTTGAGCTTTCTCTTTCTCAGCATGATGAGCAGCGGCTGCACCTCCAGCAGCACCGAGAGCACCACCAGCAGCAGCATCAGGAATGGCCGAATGCGTGGTTGAATCTTGCGTGCCATTAACACCGTTTGCACCATTGACAGCAGCAGGAACGGCAGATCCGTTTGTGATTGCTGAGGTTGGTTGATCAGCGGTTACTGGGCTTGCAATGCTTCCATTAGTGGTAGAACCTGCATTTGCTGGAATGGCAGCTGCGGTCAAATTTGAGCCAGGAGCAATTCCACTTGAAGTAGATGTATCACCGACGATTGGAGAAGTGGGTGCGGTACCGGGAATTGGAGATGTTGGAGAACCATCATTTGGACCTGTTGTGGTAGTGATGATTGTGGTAGTGGTAGTAGTTGTTGTTGGTGGTACTTCAGCCCCTTTTTCTGCACCTGCAGTTACAGCACCGCTTGAAGCTTCTCCGGTACCTGGAGCAGTTGTATAAGCAGGAGCAGCACTTCCTGATGCTTCATGCGAATGTTCTCCGCCAGTTGTGATGGCAGTAGCGATGGATGGATCGATCTTTTGATCCACTTCAGTTGGTGGAATAGCAGCAGGAGCGGCAACGTTGTTCATATTGTCTGCTGGAATGAAATGTAATCGACCTTTGACGTCTGTTTCGCGAGAATTGAGTGGATGATGCAGTTTGAAATAGGTTATTGATGATGGTAAGAAGGGGCAGTGATGGGGATGTGGATGGAATTATATAGAACTTTGACAGATTTGAAAAAAAGACAAGCCAAGATCTATTACTCTATCAAATTCAATACAACCGATGCAATACAATCGGGGCAGAAATGTAACCATCCGAAAGCGTTTACCTCCACTCTCTGTATAGAATATTCCCTCTTAATTAAATTGGTTGCCGAACAGTGTAAATGAGTGCTTCCCTACAGTGCCTAGAAGTTAGAAAGAATCTGTATAAGCCGTCTCTCTATATAAGCTGCTGGAAATCATTCCCCGCGCTTCTACACGCGCTGAAGGAATATTTACGCTGCCTTCTCTTTAAGCCCCTTTAACACCCAGAGCTGCCCCTTCGGCTTATTCAAGCGCGAGAAGAAACACTTTTTTATAAGCAATGCGCTAGTAGCTTTTTCGAGAATCTAGCAAAATGCACTTTATCAGTGTTCTTTCTCATTGACCCGATTCTTTAAAAAGCCCGGTCAGAGCATCTCCCCGAACAGACAACTGATCTATTGGGTCACGCCTATTCGCTGTGTTGTGTGTGTGATATTCTATATAACACGCGTAGAAAAAGGCTATAATTACTTAGGCACGTTAACCGCGCAAAAGTGGTACCACAACGGCGATTGCACAAAGTGGGGCATCTCTACTCTCTTGCAGTTTGGGTGTGGGAAGTCAATGAATCGCGGCTCACTCTAATTAACCTTGCGTGCTACACTGCAGGAAAGCACTAAACCTTTTTACCCAGGCGAAAGGCCACTTGCCGAAAACATCTTTTCTTTTCTTCTGTACGGCAAAACTCAGATGATTTTCAAGGATTACTAAGTGCTAAAGATTCATTCGCTCGCGTCTTTCTTCTCTTGCATTCAAACTACAACCATCTCTGGCTCTGATCGCCATCAATCTTTCTTATCATCAAAGATGGATCGCTCACTTTCGAGTTTGTCCAAATTTCGCTCCTCTTGCCCTTATTTGAGCAAAACAACTGCTGTCCAATTGCGTAGTTTGAGCTCTCAAGCTTACTTGCCCGGCGGACCAAATTGTCTAGCCGTTCGCGCTCAACAATGCCCAGTAATGTCTTTGGCCATCGATTCACGTCCAAACGATGCCGTCGCAGCCGTTCCAGCAATGCCATCTGCAGCTGCTTCTTTCTTGTTTGGTTCAGGTCCAAGAACATTAGCTTCTTCACCTGCCAATCCACGTAAGATGGTAAACCCGCACGGATTTGCCATTACGCCAGGTGCCGTTTGCCCCTTTGCCGGCGCACAACAAACTCGCAATTACGTCGTTCAAAGTGAAGCTAGAAATGCTTCTTATGCTACCAACAACCAAATCAATCGTATTCATGCGAAAGAAGGTATCCGTACCGGTGGCTCAGGTGATGTGACCCAATGCCCTCATGCAAAAGCTGCGGCTGCACAAGAATCTGTTAAAAAAGCAGAACAACAAACAGTTCAAACCGATTTACGTGAGAGTATCAAGCGTAAAATTCAAACCCGTACACCAGGTTCAGGTCTTGGTCAGCAACCCGAGCCAGCGGCAAAAGAGACGCCCGGTTTTGACTACGAAGGCTTTTATCACAAAGACTTAGCCGCAAAGCATGCTGATAACTCTTACCGTTACTTTAACAACATCAATCGTTTGGCTGATAAAGCTCCACGTGGTCATTTGGAAGATGAAACACAAGAGATCACGGTTTGGTGTTCAAATGACTATCAAAACATGAGCCGTCATCCAAGGGTTTTACAGGCTATGGCTGGCACTCTCTTCAAATACGGTGCTGGAGCTGGAGGTACGCGTAACATCGCTGGTCATAATCAACATGTCGAAAGTGTTGAAGCAACGATTGCCGAATTGCACCGTAAAGAAGCTGCTCTGGTCTTCGGTAGTTGTTATGCTGCCAACGATGCCACTTTGAGTATCTTGGGTACCAAATTACCAAACTGTGTCATCTTTTCTGACAGCAGCAACCATGCTTCTATGATTCAAGGTATTCGTCATTCCACTGCTCGTAAAGTTATCTACAAGCATAATGACATGGAAGATCTGGAGGCTAAATTGGCGTCCTTCCCAATCGATACGCCTAAGATCATTGCTTTTGAAAGTGTCTATTCCATGTGCGGAACCGTTGGACCGATCGAGCGTACAATCGAGCTCGCTGAAAAGTATGGTGCTCTGACATTCTTGGACGAAGTACACGCCGTTGGTATGTACGGTCCACGTGGAGCAGGTGTTGCAGAACACTTGGATTGGGAAGTTCAAGCTGCGGGTGGCGCGGCTGCAAATGGCCAACAAAAGACTTTGATGGATCGCATTGATATCATCACTGGTACTTTGGGTAAAGCATTCGGTAACGTTGGTGGTTATATCGCCGGTTCAAACCGTATGGTGGACGTTATCCGCAGCTTTGCACCACAATTCATCTTTAGCACCACCTTGCCTCCAAGTGTTTTGACTGGAGCTCGTACAGCTATTGAAGTTTTGATGGAATCAAACGATAGCCGTAAATCACAACAAATGCGCACACGTCAAACCAAAGAAGGTCTTACGTTGGCCGGCATTCCAATCCAACACAACCCAAGCCACATTGTTGCTGCTTTGGTTGGCAGTGCTGATAAGGCAAAAGAAGCAAGTGATATGTTATTGCACGATTATGGTTGTTACGTTCAACCGATCAATTACCCTACCGTCCCTCGTGGTCTTGAGCGTTTGCGTATCACACCAACCCCAAGCCATTCTGAGGAAGATGTTGCTCATTTGGTTTATGCATTGGATCAAGTTTGGAAACGATTGGATTTACGTAGGGTTGAAGAATTACATCAAATCGAACAAGGTAAAGATGGTTTAGCTGATTTACTCACTTCTTCCGAACGTGATGATTCATCTCCATTATGGCATGATGAACTTTTGGCTTGGGAAGATGCAGACGTTGTCAAAGGTTCAGCCGTGAAGAATGCTGCTGATAATCTTGTCAACTCAGGTCCTGTGCCTTCTTCCGTTGCTGCTTCTGCTTGAATGGCAATGAGACCAGAAAAGTGTCTTTTGATTCGTGTTCCCCCAATTTTAATCGCCAGATCCATGTTTCCCCTCAGTTTTGTCAGAATTTAACATTCATGTAGTTCATTTGCATGTCGAATAATGTTATGACAAATGATTCATCTTTATGGGGTGTTGCAATGATGCGAGTCGAAGTGGTCATATTTATGCATGCACTGCATTTGGCGGCTAAAAATAACTTTAAAGATCTCTCCGTATACTAAGATTAATCGTTAGCCTATCTTAATGTATAACAAACGCCCACCACATTTCATTGCCGAAACGGCGGCCGCGAACATTGATTCGGATCGTATAATATTTCATTTAAAGATAGATTGATGATGTATGAGAAGTACGAAGGTGAATGATTTAGTCTTTATAAGATTTGCTAATTTCTCCTGTTTATATTTATTTGGAATGGTGTATATTATTCATAAGGAGGTGTAAAAGATAAGATAGGGTCTCGGCACTTAATATGAATTAGGCCAGCACAGCCAACACTGATAAAGTGCCCCTCCACCGATGCATATGCAACATAAGTCTTACACGAGGTCTTTCTTTGTGCAACATACACTGCCTCTTCATCCCATCCATCATCAATACCTTTCCTAAATGACATCTCATGTATCAGTATCAACTTACTGATTCACAAAGAGTGCCACTTACCATCATTGTTCTTCATCAAACCGAGGCTTAAACAATCATGGATATCGTCAATTCAATCGGTGGCTCCTTGGTGGGTCATCGTCAAAATTCTGCCGCTGCTTCAACCAGTCTGTTTCAGGACTCCAACACTACCTCTCAATCAGATTCAGGACCCAGTCGAATGACATCATACTATGTCAAAACCGCAGGAGACGTAAGCAGTAATGTATTGGAAATTTTCAAATCAACCTTATTCGAAGCTGAATCGTATTTGGCCATGTATGAGCACCGAGTCAAATTGGAAGAAGAATATATTCGAGGTTTGAAGAATATGACGGAAAAGTCAAAAGATTCTATCGTCAAATTGGACGCAAGGATTGCCTCTTGTTTATCACTCGATCCCGGCGGTGCAGATATGCCAAAAGCAAGGCTAGCATGGAAAGAGATTCGAGAGAATCAATTGAGAGAGATTGATGCACGATCACATTACGTTGAAACGATCAAACAAGGTGTCATTGCTCCTCTTTCAGTGTATAGCTACGCACAAGAACGCATTCGAAAACGTGTCAAAGATGACTTAAAGATCAGTATGTCTGCATACGATGAAATGCGTCAAACTACCTTACCGCGAGCCAAGAAAACGTACGACAAAAGATGCGAAGAAGTTGAACAAATACGATTACAGCAAGAGGCAGTGGAAGATCAAAGATTGTTACTCAGTCAAGCTGCTATGCAACGTGAAGGCAGTCAAACTTCTCATGCCGAAACGAGCGAAAGAACACTTTCGCCAGCAATGTCTTCTGGACCATCAGATCCAGATGAAGAATTGTCCAGAATCGATCTCGATCAAGGTTCTACGCATCGCCGTTCTAGCTCTTTGAAAGGCTTTGTAGGTCGTTCAAAGAATTCACAAAAGCTATCGTCTGAAGGTGATGATCCCCAAAACAGTCAATCGTCTGCTTCTGCCGGGGTATCACCACGAATGGGCGGTGAAGCCAATCTATCCACAAGTCCAATGGCCAGTGAAAAGAAAGGCCATTTCTTTGAAGCACTTCGATCCCGTGAGACATGGGATACTGCACGTAAAGAAGGTCCAAAGAAGCTGAACGCATTGCTAAATCGAATGAGAGAAGGCGCAAGTGGGAATGATAAAAGTGAGGGTGGCAGTATGGCTTTCAGTCCAGAGAGCAATACAGGAGGCCTACCAAGTTTGGGCGTATCGCTTGGTAATGGCCCCGGAAGCATAAAGTCTAGTCAACATTTAGCTTTAAAACATGTAAAGGCGAAACGTGAAGCGGACGAAGCAGATAAAGCATATCGAAAAGCAGTCTTTGATCTGGAAACACTACGAATGCGAAGACAAAAGACCTTTATGGCGGCAAAGTCAAGTGTAATTGAAGCACGTCAAGAGCTTTATCTCACTTGTCAAGCTGTTTGGATGCAAGCTGAGAAGTCCATACAATCCTTGGCAAACAACCAGTTGAGCTTTAGCATGCATGCCGAAAATCTTCTGCAGGGCTCCTTGGACAGACTTGGAGACGAACTGGGTAAACTGGAAGAAAGAATTGTGTTACCTGAAGGCGAAAAGGTTCCTTACATCCACTATCAATACGGGGAATGCAGGGATCTTCTGTTCGGAGTTTCATTGACGGATTATGCTTTCAATCGTGCTCAACAGGCGCCTCCTCATCTTGGACCACCAAAAGCAGAAGCACCGCTCATTGTTCAGAAATGCATCGAGTATATCGAAGAAAAAGCGCTTGATCAGCCAGGTATCTATCGTACAAGTGCAAAGCATTCCGCAATCCAAAATCTTGCCCATGCTCTTGAACGTGATGAATCCAGATTTGCTTTTGATGCAGCACATGAGGAGGCCACGGTTGTTGCTGGTGTGTTGAAGCAATACCTCCGTCAATTGCCAGAGCCTGTCTTACCCATGCCTTGGGAAGATCGAGTAAAGTATACTCATGAGAGGCAAGAACAAATTCAAACAGGATTTGCTTCCTTAAAAGGACGCATTCGTCGTTTACCGCCAATCAATCAAGCAACATTACGAGCGATTATTGAACATTTGGCAAAGGTCGCATCTCATTCTGATCAAAACAAGATGAATGCTTCAAATTTATCAATAATCTTTGGACCTTTGCTATTATCGCAAGCTGAGCATGATGCAACAAGTATCGCTGCAGCGATGGAAGAAGATAGGGTGACGGAAGATTTGATTTTGTATGCTGATACTATCTTCGATCTTTCTCATGCTGGAGCCCCAATCATGCCAACATTGCCTCCTCAAACCGGGGGCAAAGTGTTTGATTTCGACCCGGTAGCTGATCAGGAAAGCTTCATCACGTCACATTCAAGAAGTGTGAGCATGCTAACAAGCAAGGACTCTGACTTCAATCCTCTCGATAAGGCAGAGGAAACAGCACCTGAGCATGTAAGCATCATCACAACCACTGAACAATCAACAGATACAGTCGTTCCGAAGTTGGATGTTGCGTCCCCACCAGATCCTGTATCTCCGATACAACAGGGCAGTCTTGTCAATGACCAGATATCATTCCCGACTCAAGTTCCTCGTACAGCAGCAGGAGCATACTTGCCTCCGCAAGAACCACATTTGTCCGCGAGCACGAGTGGTAATGATTGGAATGATACAAAAGCACCACAAGAGTCGAATGAAGGAAATAAAAAAACAATGAGCCAACTTATCAACGAGACTTACAAGTTCAAACCTGTTATTAAAACACAACCGCATTCACGTGAAAATAGTGCAGGTAACCCCAACTTGTTGTCAACTCCAATCGATAATGCTTTGTCAACACCAATGACTGCAGTCAGTAGTGCGAATGCATCACTTGAACATGACAGAGAGCACAACGAGAATTTAAATTAGCTTAGCTTTACGGACGATATCATCTTTCATGCCTACTTTCCTCATCATGTGTATAATACAAATTGTCGTATAAAAGATGGATCAGAATTCAAACATGCTTTTTGGAAATCTTCATTTGCCTGTTCTTTTGTGATTAGACGTTCCCGTGAGCCTTCTTAGATGACCATCTCCTATCTCGGTTGCTGTTTGTAGGCCTTGCGGGAATCCCTTTTCGAATTTGATGGAGCATTACCAAACAATGAACAATATGTTTTGCCATCCGTGGTCTACTCGGGTCAACATATGCTTTTGAATCTACAGACGAGAGCCACATAGGCAACAAAGGAGCCGATGGACGACCTTGAGATTGAGGGCCATGCACATTCTTATCGATTGATGACTCAGCAGAGTCGAACCTCTCGTCACGTCTACCCTTTTCAAATGACAAAGTAGTACATCCTGATGAGATACCTCTCACGATTCTGTGTGATGCGTTACCTCTTGTGGTGCCTCTCCCGATCTTTTATCATGTGATACCTCTGACGATTCTTTATCGTGTGATACATCTGACGGTTCTTTATCATGTGATACCTCTGACGGTCCTCTACCATGTGATACCTCTGACGGTCCTTTACCATGTGATACCTCTGACGATCCTTTAACATGTGATACCTCTGACGATCCTTTAACATGTGATACCTCTGCCAAATTTTAATCATGTGATACCTCTGACAATCCTCCATCATGTGATACCTCTACCGAACCTTTATCATGCGATACCTCTCCTGATCTTTCGTGATGTGATAACTCTCCCGATCTTTTGTGATGTGATAACTCTCACGATCTTTTGTGATGTGATACCTCTTCCAATTCTGTCTGATGCGATACCTCTGGCAATCCTTTCTGATGTAGCACCTCTCCTGATCCTTTCTGAAGTGATGAAGCCTCCGACGATCCTTTCTAATGTGGTACATCTGTTGTTCCTTTCTGACGTGTTAGAGTTTTTATGACGTGATACCTCTAACAATCTTTCCCTTTGCTTGTTTTGAAGTGAGGTTGATCAAGCCGGTCAAAGTTTCTTCATTCATGATGTCTCTACACTCGCATTCATCGGGCTCTTACAAGCAAATATTGGCAGACTCTAGAGAAGAAGAGGAACCTCTCTTATCCATTGAAAACTCTGCAGCAACGTCCCGCTTTGCAGGTGGTGATGATGAGTTATAGCTTTGTATAGTGAAATAGTTCCGCCGAGAACTGATTTGAGAGTCTGTATAGTTGTTGTGCCCGCAAGTATTGCCATTAGCATGCTCATGTCCATCACTTCTGCACTCCTGCGTGAATCCAATGATGAAGGAAAGAGTCAAGCATGAAACTCAGTCATTTTAGTGACTTTCTTCTTGCATAAAGTCACGCTAATATGGAGTATACGTAGGCGTGCGTGCGTGCGTGCGTAGGGTAGCATACATCCTTTGTCAGCCAACTTGATTACTTATCCTTTTGGATGACCATGATGAGAAAAGACTTGAATTTGAATAGCCCATTCAAAAAAAAGCATGTCATACCATACCTGCTGCTCCCGTTGCACATGCATAGATGGGTCATTTGGCTGGCCATGTCAATAACGATAGGTGCATTCACCAAACTTTCACCATCCAAAGGTTTAACTCCTTCACTCATACCTGCAGAGCAGAATGGTGCAGTAGAGGTCTCAACGCACGGATAAGAGAGCAGAGTGCAGCAAACTTATCAAAGCTGCAAAGAAAGAACTTACCGAGAAGCCGGAAAAGCAGGATATGTCAGATCCATCGGATGGTTAGTAAGAGTCATAAATTGTAGCTGCAGATGATTGGTCAAAAAGTATTCGTTTGAAAGCCAGCAAAGCGGGATATCTCAAAACCATCGGATGGTTAGCAGAAAGAACTGAGGATTACGGCTGCAGATTGTGCAGATAAATCCAAGCTATCAAGCAAGCCATT